AATAATTACTATAAAATTAATTTATCTATAAATACATATATTTAAATTCATAAATATATTTAATATTTTATTAGTAAAATTAATTATTGGTTTTTTTTTATTTGTTTTAACCTAAATGCAGACCGAAAACGGTCTAGATATACTTTCGAGGTCATGATAATATGGCAATAAATATTTTAGCATTTACATCTGAGTCCATTTTATATGAATCGTTATCGGTTCGTATATACTTTCGAGGACACGACAATATATTAACAAATATTTGAGGATTTACATCTGAGTCCATTGTATACGGACCGTATCGGTCCGGATATACTTTCGAGGTCATGACACTATGGCAACAAATATTTCAGGATTTACATTTGAGTCTATTTTATACGGACCAATATACTTTCGAGGTCACGACAATATGGCAGCAAATATTTCAGCATTTACATTTGAGTCCATTTTATACAGACCGTTATCGGTCTGAATATACTTTCAAGGTCACGACACTATGGCAACAAATATTTCAGGATTTACATCTAAATCTATTTTATACGGACCGATAACGGTCCGTATATACTTTCGAGGTCACGACGATATGGCAAAAAATATTTTATGATTTACATTTAAGTCCAATATATTCAAACCGAACTCGGTATGAATATAGTTCCCGTTGCCTAACAGATTTTTCACTTATAGAAAAGTTGTGTATGTATTCAGATCGAACGTGGTCTAAATATAGTTTCTATGATTATTTATTGATTTATTATATTCTTCATATTCGGACCGTTAACGATTTGTAAATTTTAATTTTATATTCGTCGCTTAAATATTTTTTACCAAAATATACGGTCCGGTTTCAGTGTGAATTGGTTAATTTACGGACCGATTTTTTGTCGATTCGTATATTTTATTTGTTCATACCAGGTTTTTTCGGTTCAACTATACGGATCAAGATCGATCTAAATATGTATTTTTAGACCGAATTTCTTATTTTTTGGACCGATTTTTTGGTCTGAATATTTATTTTCTGCAGTAGTGATTGTTATTGTTATATGTATGTTTATTCAACAATTAAAACACGTTATCTAGTCACTAATTGAGTTAAACAAACTAGTTTTGGAGTAAGATTGAGTGCAAGGAAAATATATCAAAACCTAAAGTTAACCAATTAATTTTTTTATTTTTTAAACTACACAATAAAAGATTAAAAAATAATATTTTTTTATTTCTTAATACATTTCACACATATGTTATATCACTCGAAACCAATTCACTATTAAATTGCTAGCAACTCATCAATTATTATTACAATATGTGATCTTAGTGACCGATGGTCACTCTTGCGCACAGTAGACAAAATCCTAACTCCACGGCTAGTTGCTGCATTTGGGTTTCCTCTTCTCTTATAAAGCCTTTCTTCTTTTCCTTTGTAATCGATTCTTCTTCTTATGTCTAATTTGCAATTGCAATTCCTTATCCCCTTTTCATTTATCTAATTGAATCCAAAAAAAGAACATGTAAAGACAGGTCCGAGGTGCCAAGCCTCGGACTGCTACAGTAATTCCTTTATGACCGAAGTGAGAAATGAATCCAAAGCTCCCTGCTCAAATAGCTGCATGACAATGACAATAAGCATGCCCGCACCTAATTCCTTATGACGAGTGGCACAACAAGTATGGTGGACATCCGCGCATCTGAATACCTCTCAAATTCTTGGTCCCGAAATAATCGTCTGGATAGACACGTCAGGCTCCGATTGTCCTGCTAAGCAAGCCACGTGGATACCTCACAAAGGCCTATAAATACCCCCAGGGGCCACCTCAGAAAGGTAATTGAAACCAACCCTAAGCTCTTTTTATCTCCGCTCTAAAGATAGCCCCGATTATTGCTAACTTAAGTATCGGAGTGTCTACCCCGAGTTCCACCTCGGGGCTTTGCAGGTCTTCCCGGAGTGCAAGCGCGGACTGAAGAAGGACTTCTGGTTTGGTGCAATTACATTGGCGCCGTCTGTGGGAAACGAACTGAAAGCTTGTTAGTTGCTCTTTCATCATGGTTCACACTCGATCGATCCCAGCTGGTAATTCATCTTTGCCTCATGGGCAAGGTCAACCCTCCACCAACCTTCCACCTCTAATCCCACCTCAAATCCCAACTCCACTTCCACCTCAAGTCCTAATTGTGTTCCCTCCTGTTGATCATGCAGAAGGAGGAGATGAAAACCAACTTCATGCCTCAGCTCACAATTCAACTTCTACTGCCAACCAAGACGTAGTGACAGCTCAGCTTGCTGCCATGCAGCAACAGTTCGGTGTTTTTCAGTTAGTACTGGCTCAGCTTTTAGCCAGAAACAATCCTGGTGACCCCCTCATTAATTTATTGAACCCTACTTAACAACCCCCAACTCCACAACAGAATCCTCAACCGGTTCAACCTGCTCTCGCTATTAGCGAATCTCAGGGTCAATCCCATATAGCACCTACTCAACAACCCATCCCTGATGATGTTACTCGCCGCCTCGATAGCTTGGAAAAGTTAGTAGCTGAACACCGAGGTGCTCCACCACTACACCATGCTGCTGATTCTATACCTCACCCTCTGAATACCAACATTACACTGGAACCCTATCCTGCTGGCTTCAAAATACCACAACTGGAGACTTATGATGGGACGAAGGATCCCGATGATCATTTGCATGCTTTCTACTCTTGCATGCAAGCTCAGAACGCCTCTGACGCGTTGATGTGCAAGATCTTCCCCTCTACTCTCTGAGGTAATGCCCGAACTTGGTATTACAGTTTACCTCCGAGGTCAATTAGCTCTTATACAGAAATGGCATTTGCCTTTCCCACTAAGTTTTCCAGTAGAAGGTTGATTAGGAAAACTACTTCTGAGCTGATGCGAGTTAAACAGAGGGATGGAGAATCTCTGAAGAACTATATGAGCAGGTTCAATGATGCAGTTTTAGAGGTTAGTTCCTTTGATCAAGCTGTGAGAATTGTAGCTGTGATCTTCGGTCTCAAGCATGACAGGTTTAGAGACAGTTTGATCAAACATGCTGCCACCACCTTTAGCGAGGTGAATGATAGGTCTCTCAATTTTATAACTGTTGAGGAATACGCCCTGGCACAAAACCCACCTTCCTCTAAGAACCAGAACCCAGATTAGAGAGATGACAACCCAAGCAGGAAAAGGATGAGGATGGTGCAGAACCGAGGTCCGATGTTGACCTCCCCAACGAGAGTCAGAAAGCCGAACTCAACACCCCTGCAACAATCTGCAGGTAAACCTCCAGTTAATTGGACTCCCTTTAATCTGCCGAGGTCACAGATTTTTATGCATATTAAGAACAAAATGGACTTGAGACGTCCTGGCCCAATGCGAACTGCTGCTGCTAGTCGAGACCATACCAGATATTGTGATTTTCACCAAGATCACGGCCATACTATAAAGCAGTGTAACAGTTTAAGGTCCGAACTGGAAAGTTTAGCTCAGAAAGGAATGCTGAATGAGTATGTTCAAAGAGCTGAACAACCGAGGTTTGTTAGAGAACAGAGGCCGCAACCTCAAGGAGTCCGCAATCCCCCAAATAGACAACGTGTGGGATATCAGCAAGCCCCACCTCTGCTCCCACCACCAGCTAGAATCATACACATGATTACGGGAGGCCTTGAAGCAGGTGGGCTGAGCTCTAAACAGCGAAAGCTGTATGTCAGAGAGGTTAAGCATCAGAACCGAGCTCAGAAGCGGAAAATTGATGATGCTGAGTGGAAAACTCAACCCATTACTTTCACATCTGCTAATCTTGATACAGTTGTTACACCCCACAATGATCCCTTGGTCACTTCTGTTATAATTAACAACTGTGAAGTACAGCGTGTCCTTGTTGATATCGGAAGTGCACCAGATATCATGTACTTCCATTGTTTTGAGAGTCTTGGGCTGGATCCAGCGTTGTTGCAGAAATATGATGGTCCTATTTATGGCTTCAACAACCAACCTGTTCCGGTGGAAGGAGTTCTTACCCTCCATGTGGCTTTTGGGAGTGGCCGAACCTATGTAACCCCTTCAGTCCGGTTTCTCGTAGTCAAAATGGCGTCTTTTTTCAACATTGTTATTGGCCGACCCACACTGACTGAAATCCAAGCTGTGGTTTCCCAGTCTCACCTCTGTATGAAGTTCCCAACTCCTATGGGAATAGCAACACTACAAGGAAACCAGGAGGTGGCCAGACATCGTTATATCACCTCAGTAACACAACCAACGAAGGGCAAAGATCAGACACCCGAGGCCATTTCCCAGCGAATTCTTGATAATCAGCAAGTTATGGGTGTAGAGATCGTCGATAATTGACCGGACGATGAAACCAGAGCTGCTCCGGTCGAAGATGTTGAAGAAGTGCTCATTGATGACAGAGATCCGAGCCGAAAGACGCAAATCGGAACTAGATTGAACCCGAAAGAGAGAGCAGAGCTGATAGCTTTTCTCCGAGCTAACAATGATGTATTCACATGGACTTCGGCAAATATGCCAGGAATTCCAAAATCAGTGTCTCAACATAAGCTCGGCACCAACCCATTGAAGAAACCAGTGGCCTAGAAGCGGCGTCTCTTCGGGGGAGAGAGACTTCAGGCTATTAAAGAGGAGGTAGAGAAACTTCTACAAGCTGGTTTCGTCAGGAAAGTTGATTACTGCGAATGGGTGGCTAATCCAGTCCTGGTGAAGAAGGCAAATGGTAAATGACGAATGTGTATTGATTACACAAATCTTAACCACGCCTGCCCTAAGGATTGCTATCCGATGCCGAGCATTGACAGATTAGTTGAAGCGGCTTCAGGCAATGAGAGGTTAAGCCTCTTGGATGCGTATTCTGGGTATCACCAGGTGCCGATGGCTCCTGAAGATGAAGAGAAAACCTCGTTTTATGCTGGCGATGAAATTTATTGCTATGTCATGATGCCGTTTGGCTTAAAGAACGCTGGTGCTACTTATCAGAAAATGGTGACCATTGTTTTCCGAGCTCAGATTGGCAAAAATCTGGAGGTGTATGTCGATGACATCGTAGTAAAGAGCCGGAAAGCAGAAGACCATCTAGCCGATCTCGATGAAACCTTCAACAACCTCAGAAAGAACAGGATGCGGTTGAACCTAGCCAAATGTATTTTCGGTGTGGAGTCTGGAAAGTTTCTGGGTTTCATGGTGTCCCGAAGAGGGATTGAGGTTAATCCAGAAAAAATCAGAGTAATTGCCGAGATGGAACCACCGAAATCAGTAAAAGATATACAGAGGTTGACTGGAAGAGTGGCAGCTCTTTATCGATTCATATCGAAGTTAGCAGATAAGTGCCTGCCATTCTTCAAGATTATGAGGTCGGCCACCCAGAAGGATGAATCAGGAAAACAGAAGAAATTTGAATGGAGTCAAGAGTGCCAGACTGCATTCGACGAGCTGAAGTCTTATCTTAGCTCGCCACCTCTACTGACTAAGGCCATCGATGGGGAAATTCTTTATTTGTATCTGGGGATTTCAGATGAAGCGATTAGTTCAGTTCTGGTGAGAGAAGAAGCCAAGCAGCAGAAACCAATCTATTACATCAGCAGTGTGCTACACGGAGCAGAGCTAAGGTACCCTATAGCTGAGAAAGCAGCATTAGCAGTTGTCACTTCGGCCAGGAAGTTGAGGCCATATTTCCAGTCACACCCAATTATTGTTCTCAAAGATCAACCTCTCAGGCAGATTTTGCAGAAACCTGAGTGCTCTGGAAGATTAATTAAGTGGGCAGTAGAACTGGGAGAGTTTCAGATAACGTTTCAGCAGAGATCGGCCATCCAAGCATTAGCAGATTTCATTGTCGAATGTACTCCATGTCCTTCAACCTCTAATCCAGAGCCCAACGATTGGACCTTATATGTTGATGGAGCATCTAGTAGCAAGGGTTCAGGGGCTGGCGCTCTCTTGATTGGTCCAGAGGGATACCGAAGTGAACATGCCTTGAAGTCTAACTTTGATGCGACAAATAACATGGCTGAGTATGAAGCTCTACTACTTGGTTTGCAACTAGCGTTGGAGTTGAAAATCAATGCAATTCAAGTGTACAGTGATTCCTAGCTGGTGGTAAATCAAATCAACTCTATCTGTGAAGTTGTTGATCCTGTGATGGTAAAGTATGTAGCCTTGGTGGCCGAGCTAAAGTGCAAATTCCAGAAATTCTGTCTGAGTAAAATCCCCCGAGCTGAGAATGAACAGGCAAATTCACTCTCCAAGTTTGCCTCTGATAGCTCTTTAAGTTCTAGATCCGTTTTTGTAGAGATCTTAGATGAACCAAGCTTCATGAAGCCTCGGGTGATGGAGATTAGCACAAACCCAGACACGCCGAGCTGGACTGATTCAATCGTCTCCTTTTTGCGAGATGGGATAGTACCTGAAGACAGGCAGGAGGCAATGAAGTTGAGAAAGAAAGCATCTCGGTATACCCTTGTTGATGGGGTCCTATATAAGAGATCTTTCTCACTTCCTCTTCTACGATGTTTAAACCCCTATGAAGCTGAATATGCACTTCGAGAGGTGCATGAAGGTGTCTGTGGGAGCCATGTCGGTGCTAGGACTCTAGCTCACAAAGTCTTAAGGCAAGGATATTACTGGCCAAACATGCATAAAGATGCCACTTACTTTGTTCAGAAATGCCCGAAATGTCAATTCTTCGCACATCTAACTCACCAACCAACAGAAGAACTCACGAACATGGTAGCACCGTGGCCATTTGCTCAGTGGGGATTGGATCTTTTAGGCCCATTCGTGAAAGGGGTTGGTGGTGTAACCCATTTGGTTGTTGGTGTGGATTATTTCACAAAGTGGGTAGAAGCTCGGCCTTTATCTAGTCTTACCTTTAAGAAGGTCGAAGACTTTGTTTTCAACTCGATCATCTGCAGATATGGGATCCCGAATCAGATTGTGGCCGATAATGGAACCCAATTCAGTTGCTCTTCATTCCGAGATTTCTGTTCCAGTTATGGGATCAAGTTACAGTTCACCTCCGTTTACCATCCTAAGTCCAATGGCATGGTTGAATCTGTTAACAAATGCATTTTAGAAGGTATAAAGCCGAGATTGGAACAGCATAAGGCCAAGTGGGTAGACGAGCTCAACAATGTCCTCTGGGCATACAGAACCACGAGCCGAACTGCCACAGGTACTACTTTAAACCGAGTTTATTTGATTAATTTCTATATTATTTTCCTTCTTCTGTTATGCTTTACCTTAGAGCAAATATGCATAATGCATAAAGCGCATTCTAAAGTTATAATCAACTGAAATAGGTGAAACACCCTACCACTTGGCCTTTGGTACCGAAGCAGTCATTCTTGTTGAGATAGGAGTCCCAAGCCTCCGGGTTACCCATTTCGATGAAGGACGAAATGGACAACTGTTTCGGGAAAACCTTGATCTGCTTGCTGAAGTCAGAGAAGAAGCTCGACTTTGAACTCTTGTATACAAGCAGAAACTAGCCAACTTCTACAATAAACGAGTCTGCCCTCGAACATTCAAAGTAGGAGACCTGGTTCTCATAAAAGCTGGCCTAACGGGGTTTGAAACTCGTTTTGGCAAACTTGCCCCAAATTGGGAAGGCCCTTATGCCGTGGCCGAAGTGCCACATCCTGGCGCCTATGTCCTCCAAGACGC